TAGCCTTTATCAACGACGCTATGCATATATACACGCCACGCGGTTAATAAGCAAATTAGTACCTACCCCAAGTAATGATTCTGTCAGATCTAGAGATGCATTTTGAGTTTTGTCTGGGTTTTACGGCAGTTCGCACGACAGTGAGCCGAGAAATCGAATTAAACCATTTGGCAAAATGACATTTAGAAAATGAAGCAAAAACGGCCATTTATTATTTTCTACTAATGTGACCTTTAACCTAAGTTACCGAGGCAACTGGTAAACACTATATTTACATAGACTGATATTGACTTGTCAATCCTCCCTTTACACATGCACATGACATAGACTATATCAAGAGTCCCGATAGTAGAGACTCATTAGGCTGGACTATTATATGACTCTTGACTTATCTACGATCAATACACAGGCCACATAAACTCCCAGTTTACGTAGTTCCGACCATTCGAAAGTGTTTGCGTACAAGGAAATAAATGAGAGTGTTCATTGCTAGATTATTCAGTACGCTCATCAATTAAACAACAAGCGCCGCTACTGATCCGGCAGTCCGTAATTTATATTAAATTTCACAAAGTTTTCTTGATGCCACTGATTTCTATAAGGTACCGAGATAACATATGGGATGATGCGTGCATTGAATTGGTCCTCCTGCTACACCATGTAGTCACGTGTTTACAGTGAATATACACACCCCCTGCCACACCCTTAGTCACTGGTGTTACATGTATATACAAACCTCGCTGCCAACACCCGTAGTGAACTGTGTTAGCAGTGAATTATACACACCCTCGCTGCCACACGCCTTCGTAAGTACTGTGTTACAGTGTATATACACACCGTCCTGCACACACCCTGTAGAGTGGACTGTGTCACAGTGTATTATACAAACCTCCTGTCACACCTTGTACAGTCACTGTGCTTACAGTGAATGATATCACACAATCCGTGTCACAACCTCTTGTAGTGATTGTGTTAACAGTGTATATACAAGAACCTCCTGCCACACCTGTAGTCACTGTGCTACAGGTGAATATACAAACCTCCTGCCACAGCCCTGTAGTGACTGGTTACAGTGTTAGTACAGCAGACCTGTCACACCGGAGTCACTGTGTTACAGTGGAATATACACACCCCTGCCACACCCACTGTAGTGACTGTGTTCAGTGATATTACACACCTCCTGCCACCCTGTAGTGACTCGTGTTACAGTTATATGCAAACCTCCTGTCACACCTTGTAAGTCACTGTGTTACAGTGAAATATACACATCTCCTCGCACCCTGTAGTCACTGGTTAAGTGAATTATACATAACCTCCTGCCACACCCTGTATGACTGTGTTACAGTGAATATACACATCCACTACCCCGACCACCCCTGTAGTGACTGTTGGAAGCAGCAATCTCTCCCATCGTCATCGGCGGTGGTGTAGGGATCGCCTCAATATCCAAGAAGTGCCTGCTGGATTGCCAGCTCTGCTGAACCATGACTCATTCAGCTGGCCTGCAAATGAATAATAATAATTATTATTGTTATATATAATGATGACACGATGATAGTCAATAGTAATAAAAGAATAATAAAAAATAATAATAAGTCAATAATCTCTGTTCCTGAATGACCGTCATCTCGTGTCCGTCGTGGTCGTCTGCGCGTCGTATCATCATCACATCACACAGGATGAGGTATAGTGACCAATGATAATAAATAATATATTACATTATTAAAATAATAACTAATAATAACAATTAGAAGAACAGAACAACACAATACATTTCATCCCTATTAAACACCTAGCTTTTGTTTCAGACATTATTTTTAAGATTTAAAAGTAACTAAAAACTACACCGGCCCGCTGCCCATATCCTGAAAACGATCATCTCAGGCACAAACAATTCAATAAGCGTGTAAAACACTTTTGGAATAATTTCGCGGATATGACTTGTATATATACACTCTGGTAGATTTGGCTGCACTAGGAATTGATGACGTGTTGCGGCACGCGATGCTACGTGCGGATAGTCGTGGCGTACATGCGTACGCTGTCGGCAGAGATCACGTGTGAATGGACTCTGCGAAAGACAGACTTTCGCTAAATATAAGTTCGTATCAGTGCGTAACTAATGACGTAACAGGGTTAAATGGCGCCAGGGGCGCACCTCATGCTCAACTAGCCGACCATCAGGGGCGCAGCAGTCGCACGCCGACTATCAAACACGAAACATCGCAGAACATATGTCAGCTTCGATCGCCACCGGTCAGGCCACTCGCGCAGTCAATCTCGGACACATGAATGAGACATATCACGCTCGCGACACTAGCCAGCTCTGAACACAGAATGAGACATAAACGCCCGCCTGCACTACGCTCGGACACATGAATGAGACATAAACGCTCGCCGACACTACGCTTCGGACACATGGAATGAGACATAAACGCTCGCGACACTACGCTCGACCACGACATGAGACATACACGCTCGCCGACACTACGGCTTCGTACACATCGAATGAGACATAAACGCTCCGCCGACTACTACGCGTCGACACGTGAATGAGACATATAACCGCTCGCCGACAACTAACGCTCGCGACACATGAAATGAGACCTATAGCCGCGTTACACGTACAAAATCCACGGTTCGCTACGCGTACGAAATCAGAGTTTCGACGTACTCGCGATATTCGCCCTCGTCTATAACCACAGTATAGCTACTAATACTCAGTATACGAAAACGCGATCACTATCCTGACATAAATGAGTGCGTTTCCTACGTACTTCGGTATAGCTATACGCGGTATAGGCGGACGTGTGAACGACGCTATAGCTATACGCGTATAACAATTAGGAAACAAAAGCCACTTGTCGACCGGTCTAGCAGAAAATGTTAGTATTAAGACAGTTGTTAAGACTAATTTTGTTCTGATTCAACGGGCCCCCTGGACATCACTTATCTTGACCAATTAATGCATAAAGTATAAATGCTGGGCATAATTCGGTTGTGCACATGTATGAATGAACTGTCACAAAACATGTAAGTTTGTTTTCGAAAATGGTACGTATACTGGTACCAGCAACAGCACACAGTTGTTGTTGACTACATGCAATTTTGTAATGCCAATAAACTATATTACACTATTTTGTGTACAACGACGTCACGTAATATTCCAAAACTACGTGTGAACGCTGTTATAACTCAAGGTCACGCTGTACGCGTATCGTACGGAGTCCGTGAGATACGCGTTCGAAACTGGGTTTTACGGTACGTGTGAACGCGCTAATAAACGCTCGCCGACACCACGCTCGGACAC